AGGTCGGGGAAGCTCTAAATGATGATTATCAGATAATGACCAAATGCAGAAAAATCTCATGAGAAAATTAGCTGCCCTAATGGTCAACTATGAGGAAGAAGGTGATAAACTGAGGCATTATCAAAAAGGAGAAAACTCAATACTGAATAACACATCAAATTACTATAATGCATTCCTTCAGCTCTACTGAGTAAAGCAGAGATCTTATTGAAAAAGAACCATGTGATTGTGTAATTGAAAATTGTGTTCATTACTAAGAAATTTTGAGAATTAAAATTAATATTCTGTGTGTTATTACTAAATAGTTTTTGCGTATGTTATATGCATAATTCTTAGCATCTCCTGCATTTCTGAACTTCCCTATCAATTTCCTGTTCATTTAATTCATTCATTTTATGAGGCAGTTTCAGACTCTACAGCAAAGATTCCCAAATTATTTTGCTAGCAATGATGATACTGTCAGAGATGAAGATCTGTAGTCTAACATCTGATTTTCTTTGCCTCCAAGGAAATGACGTGATACAAAGATAAGTTAATATAATGCAAAATCCCACTTCACCAAATCCAAAACCTAAAAAACCCCAAGAGATGCAAACAGTCCAGCTGCAAGGACAGTAAGGAAAAGCCAAAACAAAGAAACCAGAGTATGGAAAGTGTTCTTGCTGAGCAAACACCGGCTGACTGCCATGAGAAATGCCAGCAAAGCAAGCCCTTTCCAAAAGGTTTACAACCCCTTTTGGCTTTTAAAAAACTCACTCTTCAAGTTAAATTCTATACCTCCCTGCTAGATTTTTATCTCACTAAGGGAATATCATATGTGAAAAATCTGAAAATGTCAGGTAAATACATTGCTTTAAGGACCACGTTTTCCTAACCATACAACCAATTATTGCAAATATAGACAGGAAGATGCAGGTTAGGCACCTTCAGATACGTTATTTCAACGACTAAGGTGCCTTTGAGTCTTAGTCCTTGATTTGAAAAGCCAGAGCAAACCTCCAATACAACAAAAGCTTATCACCTACTGTAAGGAATGCTTTATTGCAGGCAGTCATGCTTAGATGGCCAGATGGCATCAGTAGTAAAAATGTCATCTCTCATCTCTACCTGCCTAGAAACACTGTCCCATATATGACCTGGCTATAACTGTTCATCAGTTGGGACTTACACACTGTGTTTTTGTATTTCACTGCAGCTGAAACCAAAAGCAAAGCGCAGAATCTTGGTTTTTACAGACTAATTATGGGAAAGGATCACATGCTTTTCCATTCTTGTGCCTCCCCTCATTTTAGCTGCAAGTTTAACTCCTAATTTTCTAAAGAACTATTGGTTCCAACTCTGAGATATGATAAAGATGTTTAGTCTATGAGTCATTATGGAAGTGCACAAGTCTGAAGAATCAAGATCAGAAAGCTGAGGATAAATCACACAAGAAGATGGGGATAATAGGCTTTCTGAACCAAGAAGAAATTAGGCAGCATCATTAGGGAAGTCTGTGAAATTCTTCAAAAAAGACCTTTTTTTTAGGAATGAAACTCACAATCCTATTGTTAAAAAAACCCTAGGAACAGCTTCAGAGAGCCATATACCCTTGCAAAAGTAATTGACTGTTATTTTGTCTGTAATGGATTGGTTGGAAAATGACCTAAAGTGAGTGGAAAAAACCCAGCTGCTGCTTACCTTTAAATTATATTTACTGGTTTTCTTATTTTTAAAGAGATTTGATTGATATTCCGGAAGAGCACAAGATCCTGTCTTGTCAATACTAACGCAGCATTAATAAAGCCAGTGCAATCAAATGGCAGTAAAGACACAGAAGTGGTCAAGTGGGATCACATTTAGAAAAATTGAAGGAAGATGCGATGCCAGCTCTGGCTGCCATTTCATAGCAACTTGAATGCCAATGTTAGGAACTGGCCAAGAAGGTGAATCTTACAGTAGATATATAATATGGGTTCTTCATTATTATTATTATTGAAGATAATATCCCAATGCCATCTGAACATTTTTGCTGAAATACTTAGGTTGTAGGTTGCTGCCGTGTTAACCAGTGGTGATGCTATACCCTTTTACAGAGAAGGCTTTCCTTTTCATTTCATACTCTACCTCATGATGCACTATGACATTTTTACCATCTTTTCAAAGACAAAAATCCAACTGATTTGTTATGCTTTAATTGCATTCAGTCACATTTTTCAGAGAGGTAGTAAGCAAAATGCAACTTGGTTTCCTATTATCCTTGGTTTCTAAATTATATTATTCTTTTCTGACATTAAATTTAACTGTGTTATTTTTCTTAACCGTATTTATAACGTAAAGCCATTAGCATGTCTATGGAATTTGAATAATTTCACATATCAGCTCATACAGAAGAAACAGTTTTCAGGAGAAGGTTTTTAGAAGAAGTTCTTGCGCTCTGCAGCCTGAAGCAATTAATGTGTGAGACAGAAGGGAACTATGGCCTGGAAGAGTATGCTGGGCTGTGTCAGTTGGGGAGACAGTATGTCATTCTCATGGCATCCTTACTTCCTTTAGCATCAGGTTATCTGCAAATGCTTGCAACTGACTTGCATATTGGAAAACTAACTTTTTCTGGCTGAGCACACATTGGCTTGAATAAGTCTTCAAGCCAATGATCACCACGAATAAGTGTTAAAACTTATTTCAAAGCAAAATTGGTGCATTAGCCTGCGGTTAGCCCTTGGAACAACGTCATTTTGAGAAATGTACTTTAGAGCCACAGTCTGAAAGCCAGGAAATACTCACATAACTCCCCCCCTCTCCCTTACTTAAAAAAGATATTGAAATTCAAAGAGGGGTAATTTTGCCTTTCTTAGAGCAATTTTATTTCATAATTAGTTGTCTCAGAAATTGGAACAAAACTCCAACTGTATGCAGATGCAAGGAGATTATTTACAAATCTATTAAAATCTCTGACTAAAATCTGAGTAGAAGGGAATACTTTGACAGGAAAGGGGCATTAGCTGAGGCTAGGGCAAAACCTCTTCTTGACAATGTTGGCCTTTTGCCACAGTCATCACTATCAGTTTACAGACAAAGAACTTAAGAGCAGAAGAAATGACAATGTTCTTATCCGACTTTGTCTCAACAGAATTTGAGTCCAAACCCAGAATTAGGTGCAGCCATTTCATTATCAAAAAAATTTAAATTCAGAGTAGATTAAATAGTTATATGCTACAGTATACCATCAGAGTGATGAACCCCTCTTTCCAAAGATCTTATAGTACCATGAAGCCCTCCTAAATTCAGCAGTCAGTCAGATTCTGATTACACCAACAAAGCATATAACAGTCGTCACCATCATGATCCTCTTCCTTCTACTCTCCCTATCATTTCAGAGGTCTGATATTCCATGATTGCTTTGCTGTCTGTATTTAGGGCTAAAGAATTCACCAGAGCCTGGAAAGCAATCAGGAAATGTAACATCACAACAGGGTCAGAATGCCATAGAACATAATCCTGCTCGCTTTTCACATCTCCCCACAATGTTCATTCAACAGCACCTGATTCAGTTACCAGACCAAAAAAATAAAAAAAAAGTGCAACTTTCAAGAAGGATTTTTCCAAGAGTATTTGGCCAGTAAGGAGAGAGTATTGTCTGCATAAAAAACTGAGTGTGGGCAGGCAGAAAGAAGGGTCTCCCCTGAGCATGTGCAAAGTGTGCATAGCCTTCTAGATTAAATGTAGGTCTTCTTATGGAAGAGAGAGAATTTCATAATTCAGTGTTCTTTAAAATTTAAATGCCTCAATTATGTGTAATCTGAGGCTTCCTTTTACTTGCTAGCAATGGTTTTCATCCAGTTCTTTAACAAGCTGGTAGAAAATGTACCCTTTGTAAATGTGAATGGAAGACGTTACAAAGCAGAACCCAGAATGTAGCAGAGTGCAAAGACGTGCCAGTCAGCATCCTGGTGACCTACTTTTATCATAGCAATTCCATTTTTGAAGAAATGTCACTATAATTTTTTTAGGAAAGCTCCACGATGAGATGTCAGCAAACACGCTGCTTATCATTAAAGATGTTGCTTGATGACTGCAAATACTTGTCTGTTTGACTGACAACCTTAGTCAACGAGCTCCCACAGTAATGTGCAGTATCATGTTCCTAAAGGAACAAATACTGTTATGCTTCTATAGTAGAAATACATGGGACTGAGCAAGATTCCCATTTACAGTAAAGGTGCTGTTTTATGGATTCTATAGTTGTAAAAACTGGAGAGATACATGCTTCCAGATTGCCAATGAGAGAGTTGCTTGGGGTTTTTTCAGTGTATTTCCTATGAAAATGTTCCATGTATTACTTCATTACCTGACTTGATATAAAAACAACTTAACTTTTCACAGCCTTTGATCTTTAAGACACATATTAAGCAAGCAGAACATCATTACACTTCTTTATAAATAAGGCACAGCCACATTCCGTCCTTGAACAGTCTGTTCATACATGCAAAATTATCACAGAAGTAAATCTATTTCTCTTATTTTACTTAGAATAAAATTTGTCAACTGTTAAGTTGGGAACAACTTGGTAAAGGCATCAGGAGATGACCCAGAAGTCATTTACAAAACAAACCGAGGACAACATTAGATGAAACAAATGCTGCTGATACACCTTCAGGAGCATTCTGAAACTACAGCCTAAATTGAAAGAAGTGGTGAACTGAGTGTTTCCAAATTTCTTTTGGTGGCTTTTTTTTTGAGGGAATGAGGGTTAATAAATTAAAATGACCTTAAAACTGAAAGTATTTTCTGGCTCACTTACTAGCAATGTGTCAATATCATTTCATTGATGATGAGGGCTACAAAAAGAACCCCAACACTTTGGTTCATTAGCAAGCCAGCCAACAAAACCCAAAACTAATCTTGAATAAATTGCAGGGCAGTGTATTACTATGCATGTGTTTTTACACTTAAGTCTGAAGCTAACCGTTAAGAGAAAAGATGTTTAGAAAGCACAATGAAAAATGAACAATACTTACAACCATACCGTTTAGGGACACCCAGCAATCTGGTGGGAAATCTTGGAGCAATGGTACTAAAAACTGCAGACAACCATCCCAATGGCACAGCAGCAACATCATTCCAATTAGATTAAAGATTCTCACCACAGCACTGGCCAGATCGTATGTCATGTGGAAAATCTGTGGACAAAAATTATAGGTGATGTATGTGATGCAAATCAGAAATGCAAACCATTTAATTCTCAAAGGCAAAGAAGTATTATCCTGAACTTCTAAAAAAGCTGAGATTTCTCAGCAAGGACCATTAATTTGGGCACACTAATTTGGGCAGAGAGCTATGCTGACATACCCGACTCTTGGCTGCACCCCATATAAGACGTATTTTGGGTAAGAAGTCACCAACTAAAGTGTTTTTTTTTAAATCTACAACTTCTTTCAATTGAAGCAAGTCTTATAAATTAAAAAAGCTTGGTAAAAGTAGTGAGATCATTACTTGCTGTCTAAAGACAAAGCTGTGAGAGATACAAATTCAATGACCCATTTAAATGAGATTCACCTTCGCATTCCTTACCTTCTTAAAGGCACCAAAATCTGAGTGAAGAAACAATAAAAGTACTTTTACATATTTTTTGACTTTTATTTCTAGAGTATTAATTCAATTTGTACATACCAGTTCACCAAGCAAAATGACAAAAAGGTAGTTCATCACTGTTAATCATTATCAGTTTTCCCAAAATACTGAGAATCCTGTGGCCACTATACCTCTAGTAGCTAAGTTTACATCAAACTAATATAATCACTTGGATTTCACCATATTCCTCCATTAGACAAAAAATGTTGGCATCTGAAAAGTGTCTTACAGCAAATAGCACATATACTCTTAAAAACAACATAGACATTTTCAGGTTTGTCATGGGAAAATTTGTTGGACAGAATTAGCATGAACAGCAGCAGTCAGCTGTCAAATAGTATGAAGAAAAAACACTGTATTTAGCATTTTTCTGCTATATTGGTTTTAAATTACTTCTAAATTACAAATACAAGCATATTCTTTACTTACTATAGAATTCAGTCAACTTAAGATAGATGTTACATTTTAACATGCATAATTGTCACTATGCAGGAGTTCCATTTACAAGATGAAGAATGTCCAGTTGGTATTTCAGGATATTTTAAGTAGAAAATATTATGTAATTGTACAGATAGACATAGAAATCAGAGGGTTTAGTGATGAAAATGTCAGATTGCTAGAGGTTTACAGGATTATTGGCACATGACACTTTGCACTCATAAATGAAACAATTCACATTGAAAGAATTCACAGTGAAAGAGGGAGTGTTTGCATCCTAGCTTTTACATATCCAAACTAAAGGCAGAGATTAAGTATTCACACTGCAAATGAGTGCAAGTGTAAATTTGGAGAGCATGTTATGGTGTTTTACAACATCATTTTCTGTTAGTGGGAGTTTGTCCTTGTTTGAAAATGCTGGTGTTTGCTGTGAGTTCTAAAATGCAAAGCCTGCAAAGTACAAACATACCTCAGACACTAACTTTATGTGCAAAACATTTTTTTTTCAATCTAGGACATTTTAAGAGAATATATTCCAAATCCAAGTTTGATAGACATTGGAAACAGATGCTTGTAACATTATTCAAAATGTCATATCTTATCCAAATACCATCTAGTTCCTGCCAAAATTGAGGAGATGACACTGATATTTAGGAGATACTGTAAATGGAAATAAACAGAAAAGTGTCATCATTGCACATTTGTCTTCTTAAGGAATGTATTTACATTACAGTTACTTCAATAGCTACAGATTCAGTAGCATGATACGAACCAAGAGGGCAGATGTGTGAACTGAAATAATTTTATTTTTAAGAACTAGAAAAAATAGCAAGGATTACTACTGTTTTGGAATACTAACACTCATCCAGGTTATTATGGATGAGTGGTTATTATACATGGTTATTATACTACAGTCACAAAGTGCAGATGAATTCTTGATCACGTGAAAAGTTGCAGAAGCTCTGTCAGAGAGCAGGATTTCCCCTAGAATATTTGTCTGAAAAAATGAAGAACATCAGACAGAAAGAATAAATATTTTACAGAGATCACAACTTCCTTGGGAATTTTCTATTGCTCCAGAAAAAGCAAGTTATCACACTATGGCTGGACAAAAATCAAAGTTCCCACCAACATTACTTTCATGCTGCCTCAGGTTTCCCATTAGGCTCTACTGTAAGAGACCAGATTTTCAGAATTATCCACTGTATTGGATAATGAAAGTTTTTTTAAAAATGGGTCACACTATGGCTCTTTCACTTGGATGGAGCCCATTTTTTTAGTCTGCATAGCTCATATCTTGATACAGAATTTCCAAGATTTTGGAGCATTTTGTGATGCTACATTTTGATTTCAAATGTTAAAATTATATAATTGGGTAATGTGCACTGGATAGATTTGCCAAGGTATTTATTTTGGCATTTTAGAGATCTTGCCTAGCTCTTATGCATGCTTCGCTCCCTGCCTACCCCATGAGACTGTGTGACAGCTCAGTTAGTCTTCCCAAAAGAGCCAGTAAAACCAGGACATGGAAAGAGATATGGAAAGGGAGACTAAAATTCAAACCAAAGAGCTGGATCCGTGAGTTCAAACAAAAGGTTCCTGCTGAACCAGAGAGGTCCGCTGTCAGGTTTGGGGTCCGCAAGGACTATTGTATCTTGTCACAGCGGTATTATGGTACGACTGTGTAACTATTACTATCATATTTCTTAAAAGCTTCTTCATTGGTAGTAAGCTTCTGCAGAAATGGTCTTGTACTGGACATACAATGACATGCTGAAAATTTTATGTGAAACCAAATACAGCAAAGGAAATGGCTGCAACAATCTGTATACAGCCCTGCAACCTCTCGTCATTCCTGAAACCTTTCACTCCAGAAAAAGCACCTGTGCAGCTTAGCATTCAAGGTCAGTACTATTAAAAATGCACGAACATATTCTGCATATTATCTGGATTCCTTAACATGGAAACATTAAATCAGCATTTCAACCATACCATACTTTCATCGCTCATTTTTAGCTTATGTAGTCTACTATTTGTGTAGACTATTCTGATAACTGTGATAACTCCGTATTAAATAAAATATCTTTATAAGAAAAATCTTAAGAAAATGTTGTAAAAAACCTTTAGGCTTCTCTGCATGTTCTCCCTCCAGCAAATAAAAACTGAGGATTTTTTTCTCCTAAAAGGAACTTATCATGGAAATGTGTGCTTGCTCGGAAAAACACTTTTAAATACCAAAAGCATACATTGTAAGTGAATAATAATATTTGTTCATGACAAATGAACATATTTACATATGGAAAGGGGATTTTTTGTTTTTTTTAAATTAATGCCCAAACTAACATGTGGACGGAAGTCATATATTGCATGTTTAATATTTTATGTTCTTCCATTCAGAAACTGATTGTGATACACCGGAACAAGAACAGTCACATTTTTATAGCATTTCTTTTTGTAATCACAAAGTACAGAACCAAGCCATATTCAGACTCCTAGGAGATGTGTGAAATGTAGTTTGTTAAGAGAGGAACTGGAGGACAGAAAGCTAATGCCACTCATGTCAGCAGATGGTGGCTTGCCCACCAGCTGGTCCTCCGGTGGGATAGGAAGAAACAGAAAGATCACAAATCTATTTACCTTGATTTGGCAGTACAGATGTGTGGTCAAATCTCTCTGAATGGATGTCTTATCAAGATAATATTCCCAACAAAAGCAATTCAAACACTTGCACACAATGCAAGTTAGGCTCCAAACCCTATTACTCATGTAGTTAATAGCTTGGTTATCATTAGGTGCTTGCCATCCACAAATGCCATGCAAATAAGGAGAAATTGCAGCTGTAAAACACACTTGAAAATCTGTCCACTTTACTTCTACTCTTAATTTCAGACCTAAATACTCAACTTAACAAGCAAGAGGTGCAAATTTTGAACAACGCATTTCAAATAAATTTAGTACTAGAGTGACATGAGATTGCTGCAACTGAGAAAAAAATAAAATTTCCTTGGGAACTAACTCTCTCCACTTTTTTATTTCACAAAATAGGCAAGATTTAATTGATATCTCTCCTTTTTGCTTACTGCTCAGTTTCATTTCAATTACACATGATACTTTTTATTATTAACATGTTTGTTTGTGGGAGGGTTGGCTATACTACTATATACAATGTCATTTTTCATAGTTTCCACATACTACAATATCATGCTTAATAATAAGTCTAGTTTATGAACTCACTTCTAAGAACTCATACTTTCCTCCTATATTATTTTTATAACCCTTTTTCATTATCCTGGAAACTTAAAGTTTTGCCTGAAGAGTTGACAATGCCTCTGACAGTGGCTGAAATGGAACCACTGATTAACAGTTTCTAATGTTTTGGCAAAATACTTCTCACAGAGAATAAGAAATTGCTGAAGAAGTCAGAGTTCACCTTTCATCTTGGTTCTTACTCACTTTATTAATTACTCTTTTATTCCCACATGTGAAGCAGTAAACAGACTCTTTCTTCCTCGAATTTATAATGGAGTATATACTTTAGATTGGTCCTGCCTGCTCTGTTTTCTGAGCCTGAGACAGAAAAACTGCTCCAGTCTTACCAGCTCACTTGCTTAACAGTATTTGAGGGCTGTCATATTAAGTTAATAGTGCACATATAATTTAAACGAACAAACACAGAATCTGCTGAACTGCTGTCATGGAATGCATAGGCTACCTCTTTTACTTTCTGATAACTGGCATGTAATATTTTTTCAGTTGTGATTTTTAGTTCAGTTTGATTTTTAGGTTCAGATTATATAAAAATTGATACATATAAATTATGATAAATTGATTATGAAAAAAAAAAAAGAGTGAAAAAGTAAGTCTTGCGATTTCTTACATGACTGAGTTCATCTAGACACCTCTTCTCTTCCTCCTCACAGAAGTACTAAAGCTGCTCAGTACCACAAAGCTAGCTTATACTAAGTGAGCTGTGTGGAGTTTGGAATATTAAATAGCCACAGTGAAGAGACAGAAAGTGCTGCACGTGTGCATGGAGGCTCTGGAAGCATGCTGAAAGCTGTATCAAGGGCAACACCGGAAGATCAGGCTAAACTATAGGGCAAAATAACAG